TATACATGGCCTACGGGCTACATACACAAGTTTCCACACATGGTGCTAACTGTACATCTAGCCTTCGGATATATACACATAGATTGTGAACTATACAACTATCAGACTGGGGGGCTCCATCACTGGGTAGGGTCTAGTATCGTACTAGGTACGAGGCTGGTCACCGGAGTTCCTACTGATATTCGGATAGAACTGTCTAGTGGCTTTTTTTTTTTTTTTTTCCGGGGAGGCTCCGTCTGTTGGTGGGGAGCAGCACCTGCTGGAAAGCGGGTCCAGCGTCCCTGAACATTTAGATTGTTTGATCAAGCTATAAGCAGATATGCAGATGTGATGTTGGTCAGCCTACTGGCTGGCAGCAGTACGCAGTAGCCTGAGCTGTTTGTCTACCTGGCAGCCTACATCGGGCCTAACAGCATACATAAACTGGCATGCCCTTCGATTAATGTCTGTCCCAAAAAAAAAAAAAAAAATAATGTTTGTCCCAAAAAAAAAAAAAAAAAAAAAAAAAAAAAAGAACTGTCTAGTGGCTTAGGCTTAGACCCTAGGCTAAGGGTAGGGTATAAGTCGCTTAGGCTAGGCCGAGTTCCACCTGGCCTTGGGAAAGCTAGGAAAGGACGGTAAGACTGCTTCAATGAGTGCTGCCCTGTCGGAACCTAGGGCCTAGAGTCTCTTGAGACCTGTAGTACATTGTCTGGGCCTGGCGTCCGAAGTCCTCGTTTGACAAGGCTCGTCCGACTCTGCTTCCGCCAGGGCTGGGTAACCAGCCCTGGTGCCTATCACTGCTGTTCGGTCCAAGTTACCTGCCCATTGGTAGGGTGATGGTCCTGAGTGCTCGTCACACCGTGACTGAGGTAGGATAGTGGGATAGGTGGTGCGCTAGGAGTATTGATGTGAGGATGGGATGGGAAGGTGGTCTCATATTCCAGGACACCCATGGCCTACCACTCCAATTGACCACTGTGCAGTCAGTGACCGGCCTCTACAACACCATGGACTTTTCAAATGAGGAAAAAAAAAAAAAAAAAAAAAAACACTGTGCGTCTACGCATGCCTTCGCCACTCCGAATTTCGCGCTTCCTTGTGCTCCGAGGGACCTCGGGACGTCCCTTGGGGATTAAGAAAAATCGGCAGTGGCCACAAGGACGCCACAAGGAAATTTCCTTGTGCTGTTTTCACATTTTTTTCACGAATCGTCCCCGAGGACAGGTGGAACGAGCACTTCCTTGTGGATTTCGGGTCCACAAGGAGTGTCTAACGAGGCCCATAGCAATAGCGAATAGGGGGCCTGCTGAATAAGGCAGGGCTAATAGAAAAGGGGTACACATCCCGTTTGGCTGCGCTCCTGCGCCCTGCGCGGTACACAGTCAAAATGTTGGTCAGGCATAACGTATCTGGTCCACGTCTCAGTCCGCATGCATGTCGAAATACTGGGCAATGCAGAGGGAGGCCCAGTAAGTCGTCACAGTGACTGCCTCGGTACTCGGTACTGTTGGTAAAGTATGAGTACGAGTCGAGGTTCAGCCGGCGACGTCGTTAGCCAACAGCGGGCGATATCAGGGCCACGGGGGATAGGTCCCACTTACACGAAAAAGAAGCGATATTGACCGTAGATAGCAAAGATCAACGGCCAGAATCTCTTAATCCGTGCAAGTGGGACCTTGCCCCGGGAGAGGCGCAAGGGTGGGGACGCCCCCCCAAAAAGGTACAAAGCAAGGCGGGAATCCAGCAACGGTCCAAACACGTTGGCCGAACCTAGTCATCATTTCAACTCAGGTTCGTATTTCAACAGTTCAGGGGTACCAACTGAGCTGGGCGAGTTGGTGGAAGGGCTTTCTCAGAAACAGCCATCCCGAAAGCTGGGGCCGTCGTCTGCGCGGGTTGTTTCTGGAATGACACGTGGACATTGTCATCATCTGCGCGGTTTGTTTCTGGAGTGACACGTGGACATTGTCGTCATCTGTGAGTTTGTTCCATTGGTTGACACGTGGATCATTGTGAATGACACGTGGATCATTGTGAATGACACGTGGATCATTGTGAATGACACGTGGATGGTTGTGAATGACACGTGGATCATTGTGAACGACACGTCTAACGTTGTCGTCACCTGTGGAGTCTGTTCTTTAAATGACACGTGGACATTGTCCTCGTCTGCGAGGCTTGTTTCTTTCTTGAACGACACGTGGATATTGTTGTCGTCGGCGTCGTTTTGTGAATGACACGTGGCCCGATATTTGTTGTTGTCAGCCCTCGCGGGATCGGTTTGATCATCGGTGCTGCTGAGATATGGAAGATGATTTCAGCGGCTTGATAGGTTACTTTGATTAGGCAAAAAAAGTATTGATTTGATTAGGGCTTTTGGGGTCTTTGGAAGGGGGAGGGAGGGGAGGGGGGGGGACGAGGGGG